TCCATTTTTAGTCTATATAATTGCCCGTTTTGGGTGTGTAAAAATGCGCTTTGCCTTTTTTTCGTAAAAATAGCTCTTTGCAGGACAACGGATGATGCAAAAAAAGAGAACTGGTTTTGCTCCTAAGTGAGTGTGATTAGGTGGCATTTTTCTACCTTTTTGCATTCCTTGTTCCCCATTTTTAGTGCTTGCACGAATTGTTTCCTAATCCGCAACATCATTAGCAGGGGTCCCTTTTTTTTTTTTTGAAGTTCCTTTGGAAATGTTTTATGGTGTAAGGATTTAGGATTACGAAAAATGGCGCCATGTAGGTGGAAGCGAAAATTTTTTTTTTAAGTCGACACTTTAGTCGATTCTTTTTTTTTGGAGATGTGTTCCTTTTATCCCCTATCGGCGAGAGCTTTAGAGTGGAGGGTAGCGGGGTGCATTAACTTGCGGAGGAGTCACAGCACATTTTATATGACTACACAGGGGGAGAAAATAATAAAAAACAGAACAGAACGTAGAAGGAGAAACCCATGTTGATGTGCTCTATTGTAAATTGCACGAAATAGAAATGAAGCGACGATGGGCACGCTGATGGTTTTTTCCAATCGAGTAGATTTATTCTCAAAAGGAGGTAGCAACTAGGTTGGCGGAAAAGATGGGCTAAAGGGGGCATGTTGTAAGATGTGCAGAACAAAACGGTCCTACTGAAACAACAAATACGAAGAAAAAAAAAGGAGGGAATAAACGAATCGACAAAAAGGACAGGCAAATAAAAGTATTCTGCAATCGGTACATAGAAGCGGTTACACACATTATGTGTGGTCCCACAGCGGTCAACGTAGTAACCCGTTATTTCTGTGACTAGCCATTACATTATTGGGGAGAAATGAAGCAGCCACGGGCAGGGGGAACTAACGGTTGCATGATTTTTTTTTTTTTTTTTTTTTTTTTTTTGAAGGGCCTACGCTGCGTACATACACTAATTGGATTGAAGAGGATTATCCATAGGATGTTTACACACATGTGATGTGACAGCGTGCGTGGACCCCTTTTCACAATTGAGGAGGCACTACGTACACACGACAAGCACACACGTTATGATCGGGTCATGAGTTTTAACTTATTATAAATTAAAGAATTACATGCTGAATGTACATTGTGTGCTTGTTTGTTTAAAGTTCATACTGAAACATTTTGGTAAGCAGAGACGGCAGGCGGTGCACATTTTATGTACGCATGCAAGACGGGGAGGGGGCACGTAATATGGACTCCATAAGATAAGCAATATAAAGAAGAAAAAAAAAAAAAAAAAAAAAAAAACCAAATGAAGTTTCCCCTGCGACATCGCCGAGGGGAACGCCGCGTGGTCAGAAATTGGTTTATGTGCAGCATATTCGAACGGATTATCTATACTGTAAGAAAAAAAAATATAAAAAAAAAAAAAAAAAAAAAAAAAAAAAAAAATTTAAAATGGTATTCAAAGGGAACTATAATGAAGACTATATATTGTACATACATACAAGGACACACACATATGCGTACGTGCAAATAACGATAAAGAAAAAGAAGAATATATATATATATATACATATATGTACATATTATTATATATATATACATGCATTTTCAGAGACAAAAAAAGGGGTAGTGGGTCATGTATATGTTTATAAGCATATATACACATAAGCATTATACATTCATGGAAAAACAAAAAAAAAAAAAAAAAAAAAAGAGTTTGATATAATAATCAATCATTTCATGTGGGAAAAAATAAAGGTCCCACAAGAAAAACCAACTGTTGTCTTTAAGCACAAAATGTATGTAAAATGTGTAAAATGTGTATAATTGAAAAATGAACGGAGAGATTAATAATACTATTTTTGGCAATTCATGTGGTATCATGATGCTACCCTGGGTAAATTATTTTAAAACTTTTTTTTTTTTTTTTTTTATGCAAATTTT